GCAGCTATTGGCTGACAGAGCGGAAGTCGCTCCCCGCTGCACTGTGGGCTCCTGCTTCAGTGATTATTGGTTGAGGCAGCGGAAGTTACTCCCACAACACAACAGTACTTGTCTTGAGACGCCACCAGCTATAGCAGCCTGTGCATTCATCTGGAGAGCCTGAAGTCCTTGTCCAAAGTATAGTCACCATATAGAGTTATGGTTGCTTACCTGACTAAACCATCAACCTGGGAGAGCTAAGAAGCTTTTTGCTAGCAAAGACTGAGGGCAGGGGCAGCCACGCTGACAGGAGTCTATAGAAAGTCTCCTGCAAGGCGTGGGGGCGGCGCTTCTTTGTAACTATGTGGAGCCGGGTGGGAATTGAGGAAATGTTTTTCTTTCTTTCTTTCTTTTATATTTATTTATTTATTATGTCTACAATATTCTGTCTGTGTGTATGCCTGCAGGCCAGAAGAGGGCACCAGACCTCATTACAGATGGTTGTGAGCCACCATCTGGTTGCCAGGAATTGAACTCAGGTTTCAGTTTGAAGCCTCGTTTCTCTGCTCCTGCAGGACTAACAGATCTGTGTTTCTGGGCAGGCGTATGAATGGGTAATAAGTAGAGAATTCAGGACTTTAGTGAGATAGCCCGGTGGGTAAAGGCAAGGGCCACCAGGCCTAATGATGTACGTTGTACCCCTGGGATGCACATGGTGGAAAGATGAAGCCAATTTCCAGAGGTTGTCCTCTGCTCTCCAAATATGTACTAGAGCTCCCCAACACAAATAAAGAAATGTAAAACTACCTTTTCAAATCCTGAAAATGTAGAGTCTAGTTTTAATCATCAAATCCTGTGTTCTGATCTCAGAATGTTGCAGTGTTCCAGCACTTTAAAAGCCTGATTGACTTGAGACAACAGGGGGAGCCGCGTCAGATAGTGAAGTATATTAATCCCAAAGAGGTGAGACGGTTCTTACCGACACAGCATCTTCTCGTCAGTTCAGTGTTCTCGTGTGCTTCCTTCTGAACCTTTGAGTGAAGCTGTAGTGTACAAGGGCCAGCCAAAGAAACCCACTCTGGCCCTGAAACCAGAGCTGGTGAAAGAAACTGACCCTGACCCTGAAGCCAGAGCCAGTGACAGAAACACACCTTAACTCTTGACACCAGAGCCGGTGAAAGAAAGACTTTATTCCTAAACCTAGAACCTGTGAAACATACCCTGACTCTGAAGCCAGAGCCAAAGAAAAACCACTTTCACCATGGAACCAGAGCCAGTGAAAGAAAAACGCCCTGGACCCAAAACTAGAGCCATAGCTCTGCTAGGATGTTCCCTTAGGGGAACAGAGCAGAACGCAGCTGCACTGGCTCTCTCTCAGAGAGGAACAGAATTGCTACATCCTTCAGGGAGCCCATTCCCCACCACATCCCAGTTTCAGGCATCACCTGACATCCCGACCAGTCAGGGTATCTTTCACTCCAGAGCTGTCCCTTTGCAACTCCAGCCATCACCTAACTACTCAACTACTGCAGCCCCAAAGAACCAGCTTCTGAGCTACAAGCAGGGCTCAGAGAAAAACTCCACAGCATTGTAAACCTAAGACTTCATCTGAGGGATTTCAGGGGGAAAGGAACGAACATATCTCGTATTAATTCCCACCAGCTTTCTTTGTTCTTCACAGCTGACAAAGACCCACGCAACCTTTCAGGCATTATATCTGAAAGCCACATACCATTTCTTAAGTAAATGATAAGAAACAGAGTCTTCCTGACACCAATAACTACAGATAGCAATAAAAGAGCATTTTCTTTCAGTCAGCTTCCTAATCAGTGGGCTGCACACCACAGCTGCCGAAGGACGCGTCATTTTGTCATCTTATCTACAGAGGGGGCCTTCTGAAGCTGAACTATGAAGGAGACGAAGAGAAATAAGGAAACTGTGTGCTATGGCCTATACTTTTAAACATTTAGTGGTCAGAAAAGCCAGGATTTTCTCAGACTGGAGACTTTACAAAGAGCAACGTATCTATAGAGAGTGTGCAGCGCCCTCAGCTTGAGGAGCCTTCATGGCAGGAGCTGCAGGGCAGGGGGTGGAGCACAGCAGAGGAGCTGACTCGGCGCTCTTCAGGGCACAGCCACATTAGAAGCATTTTAAATCTTAAGATAGATTTTTCTGTCCTGCGTGTAACCCTTGACCATAAGAAGCAAGACTTGCAATTCTTTTTCAGGGCTATGAAGTTAGTTTATATTTTGTAGCCCTGGTCAGTTAGGACTCTTTTCCTGTGGTGTCTAAACAAAAGCCATAAACCTGACGTTAGAATTTGTTCGGAGAGTTGATCACCATCCTCTGGCACCGCAGTGCCTCACTGCTTCACACTGTTTACTTTGGTTCAGCAAATCAGACTGCCAACCAGTGTCCTTGTAAATAAGATTGCTTTTTTTCTGTGAATAGTTTATCTTAAAATCTGTTAGCAGGGCACCTGGTCTGATCTAAAGCTAATTTGAAGTTTTATATTAGTTGATAGTATACGACTATCTTGGCAACTGGGGAAAATACAACTGTTTTCTTAGGCTGTGCTCCAAGACAATTCTTTTTTTTTAATATTTATTTATTTATTTATCATGCATACAATATTCTTTCTGCGTGTATGCCTGAAGGCCAGAAGAGGGCACCAGACCTCATTACAGATGGTTGTGAACCACCATGTGGTTGCTGGGAATTAAACTCAGGACCTTTGGAAGAACAGGCAGTGCTCTTAACCTCTGAGCCATCTCTCCAGCCCCCTCCAAGACAATTCTTAATGGTAACTTATAACCCTTGACTCAGGCAGCATCTCTTTGTATTTGTTTTATTCATTGAAACTCTGTGTAGGCTAACATTACCAATATTAATTGGACAATACAGCTAAGGCCGAGCCACCTTCTTGACAATTCACTGATAAAAAGGCCCAGTAGATCAGGGATGTAGTCATAAGATACACACTCAATATAAACATGTAAGATTACAGGCAGAATCAACAGATATTCTGGAGTCTGTATATCTTGCAATCTTTGTAAAACAAGTTTTTCCTCCATCAGAAATTATTTCTGGTGGGTTGACAACTTGAGTATCAATTGCTGTCTCCTGTTTTTATGTCATCATGGCTCCCAGCACCCAGTGAGTCAGGATATCTTTCCTTCCAGAACTGTAACACTCACCTGCAGAACTATTAGACACATGCTGAAAGCTCAGAAAGCAAAGCTACATAGTTCAATGAAATACCACAAAGCAAACACCTTGAAATCATTCTCAAACTCACTGTGCCTGTCATTCACTTGTGACCCCTTCCTTTCAATCTAAGCATGTTCATTTTTAACTCAATTATTATACATTAGCTTCTTCTTTGGAGGCATGCCTTGAAGTGCTGTCCTGGTTGGTTGTTCTTGTCAACTTGACACAAGCTCAGGTCATTTGGGGAAAGGCATGTCTATAGTTCTTGATAATAATTAATGTGATAATGATTGATGTTGTATGTCCAAGTCCACTTGGGTGGAGCCACTTCTGAGCAGGTGGTCCTGGGCTCTAAGCAGGCGGAGCAAGCCATGGAGACCCAGGCAGTAAGCAGTATCCTTCCATGGCCTCTGCACACAAGATTAGAATCTTTTTTGACTTAACAAAAGCTAGTTAGGAAAGACCCATCTAGTGTTGAGCTTGTGTGGACCAGTTATTATTTTTCCCTGAATTTATTTACAAGATGTAATATTTTCTATGTAAGTCATATATTTGAGGACTTATTTCTGTTTTACAAATAAGTCACTTAGGATTTGTAATTTTTATTGTTTTGCAACAGGACATCCCTATCTTTACAGTCCTGACTGTCCCGGAACTTACTCTGTAGACAGGCTGGTCTTGAACTCCCAGGGGTCCACCTCTCTCTGCTCCCAAGTGCTGGAATTAAAGGTGTGCACCACCACACCCATTTGAAGATTGTATTTATATTGTACAGAAAGGAGAGTTTGGCAGTATCATTCCAGTTATCCTCAGGACTGTCCATAAATCCTTAGCTCTCAAAGTGTTTCATGATTTTGGGCCTGGAGAAACAACTCAGCAGTTAAGAGCTCACAGTGCTCTGCCTGAGGAGCCAAGTTCAGTTCCCAGCACCCACATAGAGAGGCTCACAACCACCTTACTCCAGCTTCAGTGAGATCCAATGCCTCAGACTTCCGTGAGCACCTGCACTCACACACACACACACACACACACACACACACACACACAATCATAATTAAAAATAAAAATATCTTATGATTTAAATCTAATTATTTGAAGCCCACTCACCCACCCTGTTTTATAAACAGCAAATGCCAGCAACTATTTCTAAAGAACAGAATGAGAAGTGACGAGGAGCTGCTCATGGGATGCTGAGGGCCATCCATCTCTTTTCTTACAGGCGGAGCTCCTAGATGCTGCGGCTGGCATTCAAGTCCGATTCAGGCTGGGTGGGGTGAGTATGGAGGAGTCTTTATTTGGTAGGTTAGATTTTCCCCATTATTGAAAATAGATTTTCTTCTCATATAATATATACTGATTACAGTTTCCCCTTTCTCTACGCTTCCTAGTTCCTCCTCACCTCCCCTCTCATCCAGATCCACCCCCTTTCTGTCTCATTAGAAAACAGACTTCGAAGGGATAATGGCATACATGATACGTTATAATAAAACAAAAACTAACACACCAGAATTGGACAAAGCAAACAGAAGGAAAAGAGCCTAGGAGAAGGCACAAGAGTTAGAGCCCCACTTGTTAGTACCCCATAAAAGCATTGAACTGAAAGTCATTACATATACACAGAGGACCTGGTACAGATCGGTTCAGGCCCTGCACACGCTGCCTCAGTCTCTGTGAGTTCACGTGAGCTTTGTTCATGTTGGTTTAGAGGGCCTTGTTTTCTTGGTGTCTTCCAGCTTCTCTGGCTCTTACACTCCACTTCCTCTTCCACAGAGTTCCTCAAGCCATAAAGGGGAGGAATTTGATAGAGATACCTCATTTAGAACTGAGTGTTTCAAGGCCTCTCATTCTCTGCACACGTTCTGGCTGTGGGTCTCTGTGTTGTTCACATCTGCTGCAGGAGAAAGTTTCTCTGATGCTGGTAGAACACAGCACTGTTCTATGAGTGTAGCAGAATGTCATTAGGAGTCATTTTATTTGGGGGGACAGTATTTGGTTTTACCCCTGGCCCCTGGACTATCTAGCCTCAAGTTCTTGGCCCCCGCAAGTAGCATCAGATATGGGTTCCATCTCATGGAGTGGACCCTAATTCAGATAAGATATTGGTTGGTTACTCTTACAAGCTTAGTGCCTCCATTGCCCTAGCATATCTTGCAGGCGGGACAGCATTGTAGATCAGAGGGTTGGTAGCTACATTTGGTGTTTACATTTCTCTTTTGGTAGTATACATAATGTTTTCCTGTGCCATAGGTGCTCAACTTGGGGGTGAAGGCTCTATGTAGGCACCAGCTTGACTTTATATCCCATCAGTTGTGTAGGTACTGCCTTTAGCAATGGGGGCTATCTGTCAACTTGTGGAGCGCAACCTATAGTCTTGGCAACAGCCTGAGTCATTTGGGGATTCAATGGAACTCCTTTGGCCAACAACTCAATTAGATGTAACCCAATTATGGTACTGGATGCTTCATTTGGTGACAAGAAATGACTGGATGGAACCTGCAAAGATGGCTCACTGGTTGAGAGCCCTGACTGCTCTTCCAGAGGACCCGGGTTCAATTCTCAGCACCCACATGACAGCTCACAACTGTCTCTAACTCCTACTCTAGGAGATCTCATACCTTCACCCCAATGCACGTAAGACAAAGTTAAATAAATTATTTTTAAAAAGAAAAGAAATGGCTAGATGGGCATATGTCTTCCCAATTATGTGATGATTTCATTTAGATTGCCTCCATATACATACATACATACATACATTCGTACATATACATGATCCTCTACTGTACTGTTTCCGTACTACCCTTCAATTTTTAGCTGTCTCTCCCCATATTCATTCCCTAATCCCCCTTTTTTATCCTCCTCCTTACTTGATCCTCCCATTTCAGCCTCCCCCATCCATATCTATCCCAATTCTTTTTCCTAACAAGTTCTGTCACCCCTTGTCCCATACTCTCTACCTAACTTCTATGGTTCTACAGATCGTAGCTTGGTTGTTGTTGACTTAAAGCTAATGTTTACATATAAGTGAATACAAACCACATTTCTGGCTCTGAGATAACTCACTCAGGATGATTATTTTCCCTGGCTCCATCCATTTACCTGTGAATTTCATGATTTTATCATCTTTTTAATGGGTAGATAATGATCCATGGTATAAATGTACCACATTTTCTTTATCCATTCTTCTGTTGAGGGCCGTCTAAGTGATTTCCAGCTTCTGGCTACTATGAATAGAGCATCAGTGGCCATGGTTGAACCAGTGAAGCAGGAAGAAGCATCCCTTGGGGATATGCCCAAGAGTGGTATAGCTGATATTGGGGAACATCCATTTCCATTTCACAACCAAGGAACCACCACACTGATTTCCAAAGTGGCTGTACAAGTTTGCAGTTCCACTAGCAATGGCGGAGTGGGTCCCTTACTCTATATCCTCACCAGCATGGCCTGTCACTTGTCTCATTAATCTTAACCTTTCTGACAGATGTAGAATGAAATCTCAAAGTAGTTTTAATTTGGGTTTCCCTGGTGGCTAAGGTTGTTAAACATTTCTTTGAGTTTCTTCTTTTGAGAATTCTCTGTTTAGGTCTGTACCCCATTTTTTAATTGGGTTATATGTTTTGTTGTTATCTAGTTTTTTTTAGTTCTTTATTTATTTTCGATATTAGACCTCTATCCAATATGTCATTGATAAAAATCTTTTACTGCTCTGTAGGCTGCTGCTTTGTCTGTCCTACTGATAGTATCCTTGACTTTTCAACTTCATAAAGTCCCCTTTATTAATTGTTGATCTTAGTGCCTGAGCTATTGGTGTTCTGTTCAGAAAGTATTTTCCTGTGCCATATGCATTGGTGTTTCGTCTGCATGTATGTCTGTGTCTGATCTTGGAATTACAGACAGTTGTGAGCTGCCATGTGGGTGCTGGAGATTAAACCCGGGTCCTCTGGAAGAACAGTCAGTGCTCTTAAGTCTGAGCCATCTCTCCAGTCCTGCCAAGCAGTTTAAGAGTATTCCCACTTTCTTTTCTATCAAGTTCAGTGTATCTGGTTTTATGTTGAGGTCTTTGATCCATTTGGGTTGAGTTTTGTGCAGGGTGATAAGTATGGATCAATGCATTCTTCTACATGCAGATATCTAGTTTGACCAGTACTATTTGCTGAAGATGTCGCCATTTTTTTTTCCCAGTGTGTATTTCTAGCTTCTTTGTTAAAAAAAAATCAAGTATCCATAGGTGTGTGGATTTATGTTTGGGTCTTCAATTTGATTCCATTAATCACATGTCTGTTTTAATTACTGTACTTCAGGAGTACAGTTGAAATCAGGGATAGTGACGCCTCCTGAGGTTTATCCATATGTTGCTGAAAATTGTCCTTTTAAGATCTTTGGAGAACTGCGTTGGAATTTTGGTGGGGAATACATTGAATCTATAGATTGCTTTTGGTAGGGTGGCTATTTTTACTGTATTTAATCCTACCAATCCATGAGCATAGGAAATCTTTCCACCTTCTGATAATTTCAGTTTCTTTCTTCAATGTCTTTAAGTTTTTTTCATACTTGGTTATAAGTTGCTTAGTTAGATAGCCCCAAGATATTTTATATTATCTGAGGCTACTGTGAAAGGTTTCCCCCTGATTTCTTTGTTTGTTACTTGTATATAGGTGAGCTACTGATTTTTGTGAGTCAGTTTTGTACCCAGCTACTTTACTGAAAGTGTTGAGCTGTAGGGTTTCCTTGTGCAATTGTTAGGGTCAGTTATGTATGCTATTGTATCTGCAGATAAAGAAACCTCTTCCTTTCCAATTTGTAACCTTTGATCTCCTTTAGTTGTTATACCGCTCTAGCCAAAACTCAACGTATTATATTGAACAGGTACAGAGAGAGTGGACAACCTTTCCTTGTTCCTGATTTTACTTGAATTGCTTTGTATTTCCCGTATTTAATTTGATGATGGCTATAGGCTATCTGTACATTGCCTTTATTATGCTTCGATATACCCATGGCTATCTCGAATATCTCCTGGCCTTTAATCATGAAGGGGTGTTGGATTTTGTTAAAGGCCCTTTCTGAATCTAATGAAATGATTGTGTGGATTTGGTCTTTAAGTTTGTTTATATGATGGATTACATTTCTCAGTTTACATATGTTTAATCATCCCTGCATCTCTGGGATGAAGCCTTCTTGTTCATGGTGGGTGAACTTTTTGATGTGCTCTTGGATTTGGTTTGCAGGGATTTTTTTTGAGAATTTTTGCACTATGTTCATAAGTAAAATTGTGATTTTTTTTATCTTTGTTGAGTCTTTATGCAGTTTGGGTATCATGGAAACTGTGGCCTTGTAAAACAAATAGGACAATATTCCTTTGGTTTTTATTTTGTGGAATAATTTGAGGAGGATTGGATTTAACTGTTATTTGAAAGTCTGATAGAATTCTATACTGAAACCATCTGACGCCAGGCAGTGGTGGCACACGCCTTTAATCCCAGCACTCGGGAGGCAGAGGCAGGCGGATCCCTGTGAGTTCGAGGCCAGCCTGGTCTACAAGAGCTAGTTCCAGGACAGGCACCAAAAAAACTATGGAGAAACCCTGTCTCGAAAATCAAAACAAAACAAAAAACCATCTGGCCCTGGAGGGGTTTTTTTGTTTGTTTTTGTTTTGTTGTTGTTGTTGTTTTGTTTTTTTTGTTTTTTTTTTGTTTTTGTTTTTGTTTTTTTACTGGTTGGGAGACTTATTGCTTTTGTTTCTCTAGGGGTTATCTTTATTTAACTTTGCCAAGTGGTATGTACCAAGAAAATTATCCATTTCCTTCAGGTCTTCAATGTATTTATTTTGGTTTTTTTGTTTGGTTGGGTTTTTTTGTTTTTGTTTTTTTGAGACAGGGTTTCTCTGTAGGTTTGGAGCCTGTCCTAGAACTATCTCTTATAGACCAGGCTGGCCTTGAACTCACAGAGATCTGCCTGCCTCTGCCTCCCAAATGCTGGGATTAAAGTCATGTGCCACCACTGTCCAGCTCTTACAGGTTTTTAAAGTATGTCCTTATGATCCTCTGGATCCCCTTGGTATATTGTGTCTTTCTTTTCATTTCTAAGTTTGTTAACTTGGATAACCTTTCTTCACCTTTTAGTTAATTTGAGTAAGGGTTTGTTGATCTTAATGACTTTCTCAAAGAATCAACCCTTTGTTTCACTGATTCTTTGTATTTTTTTTCTTTTTATTGATCTTTTTATCGCAGAGTTTCATTATTTCTTACTGCCTTCTCCTCTTGGGTGCAGTTTCCTTCCTTCTGTTCTAGAGTTTTCAGGTGTGCTGTTAAGTTACTAGTATGAGATAGCTCCAATTTTTTTTTTTAATGTAGGTACTTAGTGCTATGGTCTTTTATCTTAGAACTGCTTTATTGTGTCCCATAAGTTTGGGTCTATTGTGTGTTTGTTTTCATTCAATTCTAGGAAGTCTTTAATTTATTTCTTAATTTTTGCCTTGACCATTTTTTTTCATTCACTAGTGATTTGTGTAGTTTCTGTGCGTTTGCAAGCTTTCTGTCGTTGTCCAGCTGCCATCTGTGGTGTCAGTTACATCTGTTGAGGCTTTCTTTGTGTCTGACTAGGTAGTCAGTTTTGGAGAAAGTTCCATGAGGTGCTGAGAAGGTATATTCTGCATTCGAGTGAAATGATCTGTAAATATCTATTAGGTTCATTTGGTTCATAATGTCAGCTAGCTCCAGCATTCATTGTTTAGTTTTTGTCTGGATGGCCTATTGGCTATCACTGTGTGAGGGTCAATACGCAATTTAAGTTACAGTGGTGTTTCTTTTATTTACGTGGGTGCCCTTGTGTTTGGTGCATAGGGGTTAAGAATTGCAATGTCGTCTTGGTGGATGTTTCCTCTGATGACTATGTAGTGTCCTTCCCTATCTCTTATTAGTTTTGGTTTGAAGTCTAAAATTAAAATTAAAATTGCTATACCAGCTTGCTTCTGAAGTCCATTGAATAGACGTCTCTTTAGTCAGGGTGATGTCTATTCTTGATGTTAGGGTGCATTTCTTGGATACAGCAAAAGTATGGATCTGTCTTTGCATCCATTCTGTTAGTCTATTTAGGAATTGAGACCATTGACGTTGAGAGATATTAATGAGCAGTGTTTGTTGATTCCTGTTATGTTGTTGTGGTGATGGTGGTGTATGTGTGTATGGGGGTGGGAGTGTGTGTGTGTTTTCCCTGGTTTGATTTACTTGTTGGGGATTATTCCCTGTGATTTCTTGGGTGTGTTGAGTTGTTTTAGGTTGGAGTTTTCCTCTCAGCAACTTCTGTAGGGCTAGATTTCTAGATAGATATGGCTTAAATTTGGTTTTATCATGGAATATCTTATTTTTTCCATTTATTTTAGTGGAAGTTTTGTCTGGGCTAGCATCTATGGTCTCTTTGAGTCTATAAAATATCTGTCCAGACCATTCTGGTTTTTAGAGTCTCCATTGAGTTGAGAAGTCAGGAGTCTGCCTTTATATATTACTTGGTCTTTTTCCCTTTCAGCTTTTAATATTCTTTGTTCTGTATGTTTAGTGTTTTGACCGGGGGTCAGGGGGATGACTTTATTTTCTGATTCAGTCTATTTGGTGTTCTGTATATTTCTTATAGCTTGATAGTCATCTTCTTTAGGTTACAGAAATTTCTTTGATGATTTTGTTGAAAACATTTTTTTGTGCCTTTGACCTCTGTCTCGCTTCCTTTCCTCTATACCAATTACTCTTAAATTGGGTCTTCTAATAGTGTTCCAGATTTCCTGGATGCTTTATGCCATGATATTTTTAGAGTCAACATTTTCTTTGATTGACTTAGCCATTTATTCTATCGTGTCTTCAAATGCCTGACATTCTCTCTTCCATCTCTTGTATTCTGTTGGTGAGACTTACCTCTCACCAAATGAGTTCCTACATTTCTCATTTCCAGATTTCCCTCAATTTGGGCTTTCTTTATTGAGTCTATTTCACTCTCAGGTCTTGAACTGTTTTATTCATTTCCTTCCACTGTTTGCTCATGTTTTCATAGTTGAAGAGATTTGTTCTTCTTTAAGGCCTCTATCACATTCATAATGGCTATTTTAAGGTAAGAATGGGGATGGACTAGAGAAAAGCAGGGTATTCCCCAGGTTAGTCCCATGGGAGTGGGGGCAGAGAGTGAGGAGAGGCCTCAGAAGGTCCACTACAGAGCTGGCGATGAGACTGGGGGATTGGATTTAGAGGAATAGAGAGAAAGGTGAAGATCTGCAGCTGCCTGTGTGTGCCCAGGAGTGCCTGCTGGATTAGCAGCTGAGACTAGCAATGAAGTGGGGAAGGAGGCTAGGAGGGCAAGGTGTGTGTGGTCCACTGGAGATGGGACGACAGAGGGATGCCTCAGCAGGTGGTCTGGGGCAAAGCTTAGTGGGGGGGGGGGGATTGGATTTGAAAGAGCAGAGGGAGAAGTGAAGATCTACAGTTAACTTACCAGATTCCCTGGCTGGAGTTCGTTCTCTCTCTCTCTCTCTCTCTCTCTCTCTCTCTCTCTCTTTCTTAAAAAAGATTTATTTATTTATTTATTTACTTTGTACACAATGTTCAGCCTCCATGTATGCCTGCAGGCCAGAAGAGGGCACCAGATCTCATTACAGATGGTTGTGAGCCACCATGTGGTTGCTGGGAATTGAACTCAGGACCTCCGGAAGAGCAGTCAATGCTCTTAACCTCTGAGCCATCTCTCCAGCCCCCTGGCTGGAGTTCTTATTTGGTAGTTATAAAGCACACTTAACTTGAAGTGCAAAAGAATTTTTAAAATGTGATCCATGTCTGTTACTGCATTACAATGACGCTTTGAATTTTCCCATCTACAGGTTAAATTTCCACCAGAGATATACTATAAAATTTTTACTCACAGACATGTTGAAGATCTGTGTGCTAACAGCCCTAGAGATTACACAAAGCTTCCAGCAAGATACACATCCCATAACAAGAATGATCCGCCTCAGGTTGAGGACCACAGTGGCTGGTACCGCCGCATAGAGAACAATGGCTGGCGGCCTGTCTCCCAGAGAGTAAGATATGGCAGTAGCAGCCATTTTTATTTTTATATATTTAGAAATTAATCTTGAACTTTAAAAGTAATAGTTGTGATTCAATTGAAAAAATGCTAACTTAGCTATTCTGGAGTTGTTAAATATGATCAATTGTTATCCTTAGAAATTATTTGAATTATTATTCTGTGTGTGTGTGTGTGTGTGTAAATGGTGTGTGTGCAAGCATGGGGGATCACGTGCTCCATGTGCATGTAAACAGTTTGTAGGAGTTGTCTCTCCTCATACCCAGGTCGTCAGGTTTGGGTGGTGTTTTTACATGGTGAGTCGACTCATTGGCTCCTTACGTTTAATTTTTTTCAACATAATATTTTTTTGTTTTGTTTTGTTTTTCGAGACAGGGTTTCTTTGTGTCTTTGGATCCTGTCCTGGAACTAGCTCTTGTAGACCAGGCTGGCCTCAAATAGAGATCCGCCTGCCTCTGCCTCCCAAGTGCTGGGATTAAAGGCGTGCACCACCACTGCCCGGCTAACATAATAATTTTTTATTGGTTCTCTGGGAATTTCACATCATGCACCCCAATCCCACTCTTTTCTTAGTCTTTCCATGCCTACCTTCCACCCTTGTAACTTCCCACCCAAAGGAAACAAACAAAAGTAAAAATTAAAAACCAAACAAAACCAACATCTTGCCGACCCCTCTGGGCAACTACCTGCTTCTCTAGCAACATCAGCCTTCTTCCACACCCAGGTCTGCCTTGCGTGTACCACTCCTCTCCTCCCCCATGCCTCTCTATCACATGTTCATCTATGGTCGTAGTATTAGGAACGCCAATGTGTCATACAGTATACCCTTTGGCCTAAACAGCGTTACTTGCCAATATTCCCTGCAGTGAGTCATTGGTCTGGTTCAAGGCCTCTGGTTTCTGCTACACCATCAGTACTGACCAGACCTTCACCACGACTCCTCTTGAATATCATGCTGTCGCCCCGGTCATGTAGATCCTGTGGCTATGGCTCCACAGGACCGACTCCTTCACATGTTCCAGCAGCTCATAAATGGGGTAGATGTTGGGGACCCAGGTGGCAGCACAGGCCCGCTCCCATCAGTCTGGTTCTCACTGCTGCTATGTCTCCAGTTACACCTCTCTCCACCGCATAAGAACTGCTCCACGTCTCTCCCTCCTCTCCATCCACCACATATTTGCTCATCAGGAGGCAGCGGGCAGGCTTCTCTTATGTTTATTTCTAACCATCAGGTTTGAAACTAGGCCATTTTTATTTTCTCTCTGCTAACGATATACTCAAAACACCGATTGTAGGATGTGGTATACTTATATAACAAAATTTTTAGACGTTTGAGATGTTTAAAATGACCAAGGTGTGAATCTACTCCATTCAGTACCTTATCACATGCCCGTCTTCACTAGGCATAGTTCCAGATGCTAAGCACACAGTGGTAAGAAGACATAGCTCCTTCTGTCACAGAGAATGCTGTACCTAGAGATCAGTCAAGCAGGCAGGCTGCTTTCATGTGGTATGCTAAGTGGTTAAACAGGGCAAACTGTTGGGAGACACAGCAGACGTTATCTAGTGTTGTGTTATGGAAAGAGAAGATAAACTGAAATTGGGAAAACAAACAACCAGCTAGGAGGACATGCCATTCAAAGACACCACAGTTTGGGACATAGTAGAGGCACTTCTTTTCTGAGTGGGTATCAACCTTAAGGACAGTCATGAAAAGCCAGCAGCACTAGGAGAGGCTGGGTATGTTCAGGTGAGATGAGACAGACATGCTTAGAACAGGTCTGCTATGCATTCATTTCACCAAGTGCTGAAGGAACGCGTCAGTACACAAGTGGTTTGCCAATGTTGCTATAACATGTGCTTCTGAACCTGCTGTGTTATTAATGGGCACATAACTTAATGAGAGCTGCCTCGAAAAGGCTGGCTTCGCCTCTACTCCTCTCCTGTACATTCCCACCAACACAACGTTCTTGTCTATAGAGGGTCCTTCACAATCAGTATTTTAATTCTGTGTATATTCATCTCCACTCTGCCATAGTTTTGGCTACCATTTGAAAACGAAGTGTTGGAAAGCACAAAGGAAAGTGAATTCCATTTCTCTAAACTGAAGAGAAAGCAAGATATGGAAAAGAAAAGAAAAATTAAAAAGATAGAATGGATGCGGGAAATGTAAGTAGATAGCTTGGTCTTATTAAAGAAATAGTATTTTTGAGAAAAGAAGTTAGAGAACTCGGACTACTTAATTTTGAATTATAAGGCTTACAAAGCAACTGCAATCACGACATTGTGACCAGCATAAAGCCACAGAGATGACGGGAACAGACTACAGATGGCTGAGAAACAGACAATACACTGTTAGTGGTTTTTTAAAAGCAAAGTGCCCAGTTTGTCTCTGCTGTTTTGAGAAGATAATCTGACCACAGCAATTTAAGGGAGGGAAAGGCTCATTTCAGCTTCAGGTTACAGTCCATCACTGAGGGAAGTCAGGACAGGAGGCCATGTACTACTTGGAGCAGAAACCATGGAGTGATGCTGCTTGCTGGCTCATCCTTAGCTAGCTTTCTTCCAGCCCAGCGCCACCTGCCCACGGAATGGAGCTGACCAGGCAAACTGGGTCTTCCATATTAACTAATGATCAAGACCACCCCCACAGACATACCCATAGGCCAATCTGATCTGGACAATTAGACTTGACTAAGTCACTGCACAAGGAATTGCATTTAGAAGACACTGCCCTTTTACTTGAGATGTAGGCGTTCTTTGAGCAGTTCTTTAGGTCAGGTCTAGTGATGAGGTGATGAGTTCCCTCATTTCGTTGCTCAGAAAGTTTTTATTCATCTTAATGAACTTTGTTCAAACTGTCCAACTCATGGTATCCTCAAGTACTTGGATTACAGGCATGAGCTTTCACACGGGGCTTTATTGTATCGAATTCTTCCATGACCCTTGGGCCTCTGTGCCTGTACAACCACATCTTTTTCCAGGTCAGAGACATTTCATTGACAAAGATCCCTGTCTTTCTACTTTTTGATGTCTTGTACTGATTGAAATATTATAAAGTGCCATTGTGTCTTAGGGTTTTTCTTCATTTTTTTCCATCTAAGATATTACAAAAGATGTATCTTTATGTTCATTGTTTTCTTCTCCTGGCTTAATGCAATGATGAAGCTATCAACTGCATGGTTAATTTGAAATAATGAATTCCTCATTTGTAAAGATTTCCTTTACTATATCTGCTAGAAATTTCATTCATAAATTTCCCCAATTTTGTTGAATTTTCTGTATGTAATTCTCCTGTATCTCACTGAGTTTTCTCAGATTTGTTAAAATATTGAATAGGCATTTAATTAGTATACTTTCCTTTTGAAGTCTGTGGCTAGAGTTCTGGTCCCTTGGAAGTTTCATCTTACCTTGTTTTCTCCTTACTTCTGTGTCTACACCTGGTGGTTAAGTTGGACTAACTTTATAAATGGGCCACTGGAGTAAAAAGTCATGTCTCTTTGAATGTTGGTCCAGCAAAGGACACTGGTTTTGTTTCCAGTTGGCCATGGAAATAAACCACTTCCCTGCCATAGTCAGTGGTTCCTGGATACCCTGCATGCTGCAACAGGTTCAGAGTCCCCCAAAACGAGTGTTTACATACTCAATTCCCATCATTTTCCTTGTGTGGATGCCAGGAATGAGGAGCATTGTGGGAGAACTATTTCCTTAGGCACCCTGGAGGCAAAGCATTATTTATGTCTGTTTACTACAGGTTCAGGCCTTCTCTAGGCATTATTTTGTAGCTCAGGTCTAGTAATGATGACAAAGTCTGCTGATGATACATTTGTCTTCTCAATGAATTTCTGTGTTCCATGTTCTTGGTAAGGACTACTAATGTCTCCCTATTCATGTTTGGTAGGAACACGTACCTTAAACTAATGTTTAAGATAGTATCTAGACAGAAGGGGGATATGCTCAGAGTCAAATCTGAATGCTGCCTCTCCCCATTTTTACCACTTTCCATGATCTTAAACAATTCCTTGACTTCTCCAAGTCTCAATTCTTTATATAAGAAAGAAGAAACAACCACCACAAATGGCTGTCTTTTTAAAAGAAAGATATGAAAATTATGCAGTGTATATGACACTAAGATGTAGATAAATCTCCTTTGCCTGTCACCTGCTGTTAGTCTCGTGACTCTGTAGAAGTCACATGACTCCTCTTAGTCTTAGTTCTTTACCTGTAAGACCAGAGGGCTGGCTTAGTCTCTAAAAGTCTTCTCCTCAGAATTGGATTCAGATTTTGTATTGTAAAACTTATGGCAGCTGTGTAAGTGAAGTCTTTCTGGTTAGTGATTAATTTGCCCCAGGAAGAGTCTATCACACTGGTCTTAGTTTAGAAGTATACAGAACAAAAGCTTGATTTAATTTATGATTTTAACATATAAACATCTATCAATTGTATTCACTTCTAATCACTTATTGCAAAGGATGTGTGTCACTTCTTTCCCCTTACTTAGGTACTACCTGGGAAGCCTGGAGGCCAAGACGACACATCATGAAACGCTAGGCCTAATTCACAAAGCCACAAAAGGACTAATTAAGAGTATTGAAGATGGCGGCGTGGATTCTGTGATGGAGTGGGAAGTAGACGAAGTGCTGAACTGGACGAACACACTCAACTTTGATGAGTAAGTTACAGCCACTCGCAGGGGGACGAAGTCCTGTATTTTTCTTTCTAGAATTTCCTGTTTCCAGGTTGAACCTTGGGGTTACCAACATAATCCTTAAAAATATTATTTGTCTACACAGAAAAGGAAAAACGATTTTGAGAAAATTATAGTAAGGCAGAAGAATACATTACAGCAGCTATGTCTAACTTACTGTTTTACTTTGGGATTCAGAAACAAGACTAAGACCATAAGATTAATTATGTAAAGAATTAGCTTTATTTGTATATTTATACATAAAGCTTTAATTTATTTACATTAATTATATAAATAAATAGCTTCAATCTATATGGTCTACTCTTTTTAGATACTAAATGGCCATTGAAAGATATTTTGAGAATTTTATGTGGTGGGAATTTCAGTTCAATACAGTCATCAGGTAAGTGCCAGCTGAAGGCGCAGTGGGGGACTTCACACGACCAACGTGGTTAGTAACAAGTGCTGGCAAGAGTGCTGAGAGTGGAGCCTTGATACACGGCTGGCAGGAATGTGCGGTGGTTCCGCCACTCTTGGGAGATAACTGGTGATCGCTCAAGTGTTGCAATGTAACCGAGCAATACCACTCCAGAGGATGTACAAAGGAAAATGAAAATGTACATCCATGCAAAGACTAGCCCAAATGTTCACAGAAACATTTTACAGTGAGGAGAAAATCAGAAGTAATCCAAATGTCCATCAGGTGAGGGTTAGACGAGTAAAGCAGTTTGTTCGCACAACGTAGGATTACTCAGCAGAAGAGAGAGATTCTGGTATGTGCCATGATGTCCATGAAATTGTCACGTGAAAGCAGTTTAATTACAGTGATATATACAGAATAAGTAAGTTTAGAGATGACATATATTAGCAATGGTTACTTGAGGCTGTGGACCGGGGATTACAGGGAGGTTACAACTAAGGGATGTTGAGCGTCTCCTGGCTGTAATAACAATGTTTGAAAATTGATTGTGGTGAAAATGCACAACTCTGAATATACCTACCATCTCTGAACCATGAGTGGATTGTAGAGCCAACAAGTCATACCTCAGCATCGCTGTTAAAATGTTCAGGGTATATTCAGCTGTAACAAGAACTGTGGATATTGCATGGGCAAAGAGAAAAATTATAAAGAAGGTAAAGAAATGGGAGATGTTAGAACGAGGGAGTTAAAAGGAGACAGGCAGAATTGAGGTGCCAGTCACTGACAGAACGTGAGGAAGAGACCAGAGGAAGTAGGTGATAAAAGGGAAACTTCCCATTATTCAGAGACGTCTTTGTCATCACGTCTGAGGAGATGCTGGCCTAGACAAGCCCGTGCTGCCAGTCACCTCTCTGGTAGGCTCTGTGAGATGAACACACCTTCTTTTGACATGGTGAGAGTAACTGAAGAGCCACATTTTTTGCTTAAATGTTTCCAAATTATGTACTTCTTTTCAGTTCACTCCAGTTAAGTATATAAAAAGCAAACTGTTTTGCTGAACCCCGACAAGAACTCAGGCTAGGTGAGTGATTGCTGGGCGTGTACAGGCCGTGCTTCTGACCGCAGACACACGTTATCTGATGCAGTCAGGCTCCGCGGCAGCCTGGTCCTAGGCAGCGATAAACAGCAACTTCCCTAGGCTTTCATGGCGTCCAGTCTCTATTGCTGTTATCTTCAGTTATAATTGGTTTACTGACACATCCTGTGAGAAAAATTCAGAATCTGACATTTCTCCCTACAGGAAAATTGGTAAGTTAGTAATTTCTTGAAAAGACCTCTAAAAAATCTGGATAAATACAGGTGAATTTGTTTTAAAAACTGCCTCATTATTTTATTTTGAGACAAGGTCTTACTATGTAACCTCGGCTGTCCTGGAACTTGGAAATCTGCCTACTTGTCTCTAGAGTGCTGGAGTTAAAGGTGTGCACCACCATGGCCATTTGAACCTCTTGTAACTCCTCGTCTTGGAGATTGCCTTATAATCACGTGTGGCCCACTAGGAGGTGGTAGAGTCCTGAAAACCAGACACTGAGACTAGTGAAGATGTGACCATTAAGCATTGTTAACTAGCATTATTTAGTAATAAGTCAATTTAATGCCCATATAATATGTTGTAGATATATTGCTACCTGGAAAGAAACTGCTACAAGCAACTCTTCAGCTAATTTAAAAGGTAGGTGAGGTTTTTTTTTGTGTATGAGAATCTTGCCTCCATGTAAGTGTACCACATGCATGATGTGCCTGTGGAGGCTAAAAGAGGACATCAGATCCCCTGAAACTGGAGTTACCGTTGTGTGCCAACACACGGATGCTGGGAACCGAACATGGGTCCTCTGGAAGAACAGCCAGTACTCTTAACCACTAAGCCATCTCTCCAGTCCAAAGTAGGTGGTTTTTAGCAATACTTTATGGAAAAATCTATATGGGTCTAAACGATCTGTACATACTCATCATCCTGAAGAATATGTGTATGCACACGTTGTTATAAATGTTAGGTCATGTCTTTATGCCTATCTTTATATGTTGGGCTCTCATTTGAAAATTGGTTTTCTATTTTATATAAGGCGGGATAAAAGTTTTGAAAGTTGTATAGCTCATGGTTTCAGTAATGACTTCCAGTGAGCAAACTAGATTTGGCAAAATGAATGCCTCCAAATGTTGGAAACGTTTAAGTTCTGTTCCACTATTGTCCTTCAGTAATGGCACACTGAATCCTATCATTATGCCACAGAAGTGCCAATGATTCTAACATCGTAGGGTTTCTATGCTGTGATAAAACACCAGGACCGAAAACAACTTGGGGAGGAAAAGGCTTATTTCACTTAGACTCCACATGACAGTCAATCATCCAAGAAGTCAAGGCAACAGCCGATGCAGAGGCCATGGAGGGCTGCTTCCTGTGTTCTCCGTGGCGTTCTCAGTTTGCTTTCTTATACCACCCAAGACCCACCTGCCCAGGGATGGCAATGCCCACAAGAGGTGGGCCCTCCATCACCCATCACTGGTCAAAGCCATAACTCAGGCTTGCTTACAGCCCTGTCTTCTACAGAGGCATTTCTCAGTTAGGAGTCTTTCTACCCATGACTATGTTTGTGTCAAGCTGACACAGCCAACCAGCAGAACCGTCTAAGACTATGAGGACCTGTGACTAGAATGTAACTCTGCTACCTTGTATGAGAAGCAGCCAGGCAGAGCGGTCAGAGTGTGGAGTCTGGGTTGGAGTTTTTGCTCTGCTGTTGTTATAACACAGAGAAGCAGCTTAGACTAGGGCTTGTCACTTAGCAGAGCTTAGGATGCTGCCCACCACATATCACCCCATCCATATGAGTTATCGTTTTCATTCACTGACTCCCAGCTCACTGCTGCCACTCAAATCCAGCATGTGATTGCCTATCATCACTTCTGTGACAGTTCCCATGCTGATATTCCCCAGGGCCATTCTACACAAAACAGATAATGTGAACTCTTAGCAACTACTGTGAAGAATGAATTTAACTTGATCTTTCAAACAAACATATGAAACACGTTCCATTATCTGCATTTTCTGAGGGAGGAGAGACAATATGATTTGCTCAAAGTCAGTCTGTGCTAGGATTTGAACTAAAGCAGGTTAAGAATTCACAGTTGAAACACTATCATAGTCTGCTGCCTCAAATACACAGCTTTCCACATATAAACCATGGCCTCTGGCTGTACCTACATGAACATGTCCCATGCCTGTTCCTCACACCCAGCAGTTTTTGCATTGGAGAATAATGGAGTCACTGATGAACTGTTAGACTGTCTTATATGGTGTGATCTGTATGGTCCAGTAATGGCTCCCTCAGGACAGTCTGAGAATCCCATGGCTGCTCATTCCGTAGGGGCTGGGTGCATTGTCAGCACTGAAAGCTGGAAGGGTCCCTGGAGAGCTGCTGGCCTTCAGGACACGTCAGAAACCGGAAGAAGCTGATTCTGCTCTCAGAGAGAGAATGCAGCAACAGCATAGACAAACTTGCCATTGTTATGAAAGCAAGCAGGCAAACCAAGCCTTTCCTTTCCACCTTCTCTTATTTTTGGGCTGCCACCAAAAGGTGCCACCCATACTGCGGGTGGGCCTTCTTACTTCAATTAACCCAGTAAAGCAAATTCCTCATGGGATTGCTGATTCCAGATAGAGTCAAGTTGACAGCCAAGACTAACCATTACAATGGCCTTCTACAGAACAATTTTGGTAACTGTCTTATAATAAAGGGCAAAGAGATTAAAGCTTTGCTACAGAAATCACAAGACGTACACGCTTAAGTGATTTACTGATAAAGAATATACATGGCAGATACAAAAAAGGAAACAATATAAATTACTAAGTTCTGAAAGGTTATGGTAAAAGATATGTTCCTTTCAATTATCATATGATAAAGGAAAAACTATCTTAAATACTGAGGAAAGATGGTGGCACTGGGAGAATATGTGTGCTACCCTTTAAGAAGCTAGAGAAAGCCAGACACTTGAGGAAGGCAGGCATATCTCTGAGTTCAAGGTCAGCCTGATCAACATATTAAGTTCCCAAGATAGCCAGGGTGACATAATACAAAGACCCCTGCCTCAGAAACAAAACAAAACGAAGAGACAGGCTGTGCATGTGTGTATGTGGGGGCTGGATGGGGCGGGTATCCAGAGTAGATTCATAAATGAACAAGTCAGTTCATTTGGGAGTGAAGAAACGGCTCTAGCTAATTACAAAGCACTCATTCCAAACACCATGGACCATCTCATTCAGTTATCACAAATCCAAGCAGGTTCTGGGGGTGGCTTGGTGGAGACCACTTACAGTGCAAGCTTAAAGACCCTGGCACAAGCAAGGCCAGGCACAGCCTGTGGGCGCCTGTAACCACAGCATGAGGGAGTGGACACACTTGGATCCGAGGGGCTCCATGTTCAGTGAGATTTTAGGGCAGCGTGAGAAGGTTTCCTCACAACATCCTCTGGTCTCCATGGCGGGGGGGGGGGGGGGTATATACACCACGCAGCAGGTGCCACTGCAATCTTAAATTTTACAGATGAAGACTTGGGCTTACAGAATATCAATGACTGCCCCAAAATTACAGAGGTATTTTTTAGTAGGTCACACCTAGAACCCAGCTCATACAGAGACCTGTGTAGAGACAAATAGTGGTTAAAATAGAATGAACACAGAGATGGGGGCATTGAGTGTTTCTGTTAAAGCAGCAATAAGGACATGTGTTCAAAGTGTGACGGGAAGGACTTAGAGAGCAGGGCACTGTTGTAACCATCTGTCATTTCTTTTTAGATGTGAGGCTTGGACAAATCCAGAAAACTCTGTATAACTATGCAGATGGGTCAGAGGCACCAACAGAAGGACTATATGAGGATAATTACTATGAAACTACTTACGTAAGGCCACAGTACACTAGCTTAACACCCAATTCCATGTTTGGAATGAAACCATAAAGGTCTTCCTGTTCTGAGCAATGGCCCTTCAAGCCCATTTTTCAGTTAAAGCCAAGAGACTGAATATTTCGACTACCATAACTTATGTATATATTATTTGCTCCTAATTAAGGAAGACTTCAGAAATACTACACTGGACAGTGTATAGTTCTTCCTGGTATTCTGATAAACTGTAGTTGTCTGAAATTACACTTAAAATAAAGTATATTTAGGTTGTTAAAAAAACCTCCAAATGCAATTTGCTTTTAGTACAGTTGCTCAGGGCAGAGCGCATTCACTGTACACGTGTCCAAATGGCCCTCACTGATTTTTTCCTCAACTGTCCACTTAAGTATTTTTTAAATGATGCACAGGTAACCATTTACACATTTCAAGGGGGGAAGTGTATTTCACAACTGTGTACCCGTCAAATCTGGGTGGTCATGGTTCCATCTCCTTTAGTTTGGTGCTTTGGATGGACGCAGTGAATGGAGGAGGCATGGATTTTTTTGGTACTTTGGTTTCCTTTAGATAAAAACCAGAAGTACCACTGCTGGATCACACAGTAGTTTTGCTTTGAATTTTTTGGAGTGATCTCAAGGACAGACAAGTTCAAATACAGTTAACAGTGATTTAAATACCTCATCAATAAATCATCCTCTTCTAGAAAAAGAAATGTGGCTTATATGTACAGCTGAGTATTATTTAGTCATAAAAAGAGTAAAATCATGTCACCTATCATCTGGGAGAAAATGGATCTGGAGAGTATCATGTTAAACAAAATAAAAGCCAGACATAGTAAAACCAACAGGCACTCTTGTGTCCCATGGAAATAAAAGGGAGGAGGAAACCTCCCCAAGAGAGGAGAATGAGGATCAGACATGACCAGTAAATTTACACACATGCACACACACAGAATCAATATGCCTTAAGTTCTGTGTCTCTGTAGTGGGGTAGCTATAGGAAACAATATGCTGTATATTTCCAACAGCCTGAGAGAAAGGGCTGTGAAGGCTTACCGTAAAGAAACTATACACCCAGGGCTGGAGAAATGGCTTAGTGGATGAAAGCACTGACTGCTTTTCTCAAAGACCAAGGTTTGATTTTCAGCACTGACATGTGACTCACAACTATCTAATTTCAGTTCTAGCCAATCTACTGCCATCTTCTGGCATGTGAGTGGAACACAGACATAAACTCAGGCAAGAACCCATCCATATACCTAAAAACAAGCAACGAAAGCCCTCTTGAGGAGAAACACTTAACCTGATCAATCTCAAGAAATCATACATTATGGGAATTAAAAGGTGAGAAAAAAGAGCCCCAAACAAAAGGACCACACCTTTTCTGGTTTTATACCGGAGAGAACTAAGGACAGAGACCTAAAAAGATGTCCACACACCCATGTGTGTTATGATAGCATCCTATTGTTGGGGCAAAATGCCTAAGGCACACAATTTATCAGCCCCCTTCATTTCAGGTTCTGTGGTGAGGCAGTATCACGCCAGGGAACAAGTTGTCTTGCAAAGCTGATCATTTCAAAGACAGGGAGCAGCAACACAAAGAGGCACCAGGATTCCACTTTACGAGTTCAAAGATCATAACCTGCCTTTCCCCTACCTGCACTGGCCTACCTCCTAAAGATCCCACCACCTCTCAGGTGCTGAAAGTGTATGGCTGACTTAATCTTAGGAAACGTACCAGTGTGAGCACCAAAGTGACACGCTCACTTTCAGAAAGTGGTCACTTCAGCAAGTGTAGTAACTGTGAACCCAACCCCAAAGCTTCACAGCAGTTCAGGGATTTCTCCAACAGGAAAAGTGACACGGGAGCCTCACTAAAAACCCTGCAGGAAACAGAAAATGGGAAAACACTGACACTTGAGCGTTGGCCATGAGCCACAGGATTGTTCAAACATGACTGCTTCTGTCTTCCATTATCGCTGCACCAAGCAGAGGCTGTGGCCAAAAGAGTAGAAGAAGATAAAGTAACAAAACACTATTAGATCTGGGAGGAAAAAAATAATTATTCATAGCAGGTATGAGCACCTAAAACACCAGTTCTCAACCTGTGGGATGTGACCCCTGTGGTGGGGATTAAATGACCCTTTCATAAGGGTCAACTAAGATCATTGAAAAATACAGATTTACATTACAGTTCATAACTGTAGCAAAATTATAGTTGTGAAGTGGCAATGAAAATAATTCTATGGCTGAGGACAACAGTCATATGAGAACTGTATTAGGAAGGTTGAGAACCACTGGGACTAAAAGAACCAACCTAAGTTTCTAGAAAGAATAGGACTTTTTTTTACCTCAGTCACTGGTACCATTTTCGTGGAGAGTAAGCACTTTAAATTCCAAATAATAATAAGAGACAAGAGATAACGTATAAAACCACAAAGGTGCCGAGGAAAAAATGAGATAACAGTATGAGGATTTCCACAACAGAAACTCTGATACTTGGGTAGCGATGAAGGGAAGTCCTTACAGAAAAGATTTACCCACCTGGGAAACTGGTGATGTCAATGAGCGATAAGCGAACAGAGGGGAAGGAGCAAGTACTGCTAAGTGTATACTCTCACTCCTGCTGTATACAAAACCATGCATCCCCTTAGGGCAAAGTAGGGGGCTTTTATTCCAAGAAAAAATTGTATTATATGAGATTTTTACTAAGTTGAACCCAATCTTTTTGGACACTCTGACTACACTGTATATAAAATATATTTTGCCAGAAGCTGCACAGAGGAACATGAAACTCTCAAGAAGAATGAATTTATTTTAAAATAATATGATAAAGTGAAATATCACATTTAGGATATCAGGATCTTTATTTGTCATATCCTAGTGCAACTTAGTTTTTCAGATTTGAGAAATGTCAACTAGCTCATTTTCTAAGCCAAAGCCGAGAACACGGACGGGAGCCCTCTTCCCCTGATTCTGACTGAGTGCTGACTTCTGTGTCTCCCTAGGAACCAGCCCGTGACTGGCACATATCAAGTATTTCATAAAATGGACATACACTTGTACAGTTAACATAAACTTGTATAATTCTTTATTAAAAAATTTTGTAACATTCAGGTAACAGTGTAACAGATTACATTTAATAACACTAAACAAATCTATATAAAATACATAATTTCATTAAGGTGCAACTAAAACACTTGAAATGGCACTTTTCTCTATTTCATACTGGCCTTCCACTTACAAAGGTGGTTATTATAAACCTAAGGTGCCCAAAGTCCTTCCTTTTTGCTTTTGTTCCTTTTACCATATTTAAATTTGTGACAGATTTCTAGGTGCACAATCTTTTCCTCATTTTAAGTGAACACCATGACGACCTTACATTTGGGGCCTGACTTGGGACCACTCTGAGGGTGCACAGGGTTGGAAGAGGGACTGTCGCCTCCTTGACTCTAGACACACCAGCTGTCTAACTTCCTTTTCTAGCAGCTTCTCTATTTGCTTTTCACTGACTTACACCTGACCAGTGAATGCCAGATTCTTTTTACTAAAAGTTCTTCAACTGAAGAGACTGCTTATATGATACTTGTGTGCAATGTCTTCTGGCCTCAGACAAGTAACCTTCTCCAACTTTTACTTTCTCTGGATATAAAATGGGATACTTGATGTCATCAGGTAACAAGATAATGACTAATCAGCAGCATGAAAAATTTCCAATTGCAACTTTAAAATTATTTCTTCATAAAATAGAATGTTTTGAATGCTGGCCACCTAAAAAAATTTTTGGAATACAATTTGTCCATCAAAAACATATGTTTTAAAGAGTCACTTGTAAAACATAAACCCAGCCTTATATGCACATTTTCTTTTCTCAGGAAAAGGGCACTTAGTGTATAGCTAAGGCATTCAGAATAAAAGTCTAACTTATTTATTGCTCGTATGAATGATGCTTGTATTTTGAAGCTTTGAGTTGTACATAGTACCTTCGACATTTCTGTTTCTGAGGGCTCGCTACTCTGGTTTCCTACTTTTACACATGAAAAACTAAGAAGGTTTTAGAAAATTCAAGGTCTATACACTGCTAATTGTCTAATGAATTGATGGTATGCAAAACCATGCTAAAAGGTTTTAATCATAGTGGCTTAACTTACAATCAATGAAATATTGTAAGGTAGTAAATATCACAATATTGTTGCCATTTTTCCTGACAGGTAAAAGGCATAGATCATTTTTCTGTGTTTTATACCATTAACTTTCTCTAATTATAGTATGCTACAAATAGTATTTTTCTATTATTAGCCTAACCATAGTGTTATTTATATAGGTTCATCATGAAAAGAATTTACACATCAGCAGCAGCTGGGCATGCTCATCACCTGCTGTGATCCAGTTTGATAGGGCTGGACTAGGAGAAATACTCATCCATTAACATTCTTGTTGGCTCTTGCCCAAAGACTTCAACTGTGTACTTTGTATATAGGTCTGTTGCCCAGTTTTGCTTTCTGGGATCAAAAGATTTACTAAAATGTAGATTAGTTTGCTAATTTTATAGGTTTCTAAAGTGATGAAAGGCTTAAGGATATACTTAATAAATATAAACTTATGAATAATTATTTCCAAAAGCAAAAACAGGAATATGGCTTTTCCCAGGTGACTCAGAGATGCTGCGGTCTTTTCCTAGCAGATATGGTGGAATTATGACTTGTAACAAGTTTCTTTACCTGTCAATCAAACAAGGCTAGAATGCAGAAGTACTCTGTCTATATGCCATATTTTTATCTATTAATATTTTCCTCCTTCCTTTTTCTATAGGTGTATATATTGTATATTAAAAGGGGTCTGATAAAACAATTTAGTGGTTTTATGTGTATAGGTGAAGCACTTGTCATGGATTTAAACACTGAGTAGAGTAAATAAATTTTTTTTTGTTTTCAAAGCATAAAAAAAAGAATATCATCCAATATTACAAGTCTTTGTTGTAGGAATCAAACATGCTGCTGATAGACATGTCAGGTACTTGGCATAAAGGAAATACCTGATTTTTAATACCTGTAAATCTCACCTCATTGGCTCCA